AATTCAATATCAAGTATCAAATTGAAATAATCGAAATTAGTTCCATTAAAATTATGCTTGATTTAAATTCAAGAAGAAATAAAAAAATATTTGAGCAATCAAAATAAATTTAACTAGTGATTTCATGCAGAATAAAATGTAAATTTGCATCGATCTCTGTGGAATTATTGGACAACACAAACTCAAGTAGCGACAAATGTCAAAGCAACATTACAGTCGACAACCAACTTCACGCCAATCAAGAAAAATGCGTATATCGCACACAAACGTAACTTATTTCATCTGAAAAAAACTCAATGGTGTCTTTGATGCAATTTTTTGTTTGGTTTGAATTTACTAATAATTTATGACTTCAGGATAAATTTATATGGAAAGTATGGCATATGAATAAATGCAACATTATTTACCGTAATCATCGACATTCTCTTGACAACAAACAGAACTTTTTTCGGTATTGGAAATTGCTTTGCCATAAATTGATTTCAACTGTGTAAATAACCTCTCTCGTATAATTAATGAGTAATCTCAAATATGACTGAAGAAGCATACTCTTTTCGGTTTTCTGCTACAATTATTTCACCATTAGATTAATATTTCAAGCTGCAAATATTTTTTTATTTTTCAAACTGCAATAGCATACTCTTTTTGGTTTTCTGCTATATTTATTTCTCCATTAGATTAATATATTTAGCTGCAATTTTTATATATTTATACCATGTTTTAAATTGAAAGCGAAAATGTTTTGATTGATTTAAAAAATTCTTTGATAAATATGTTTTTGGTGGCCCTGAAAAGGGCCGATTTTTTTGATGTTTTTTCTGTATTGATCGGGATAAGGTTGAATTTAACCTCCGAAGCCGTACAAAGTGCGGCCTTGACGTTTCAAAGCGTAGACGACATCCATAGCGGTGACTGTCTTGCGCTTGGCGTGTTCGGTGTATGTGACTGCATCTCTTATAACGTTTTCCAAGAATACCTTTAAAACGCCTCGAGTTTCTTCGTAGATCAAGCCAGAAATACGCTTCACACCACCACGACGAGCCAAACGACGGATGGCTGGTTTTGTAATACCTTGGATGTTATCACGCAACACTTTACGATGACGTTTTGCGCCACCTTTTCCCAATCCTTTTCCTCCTTTACCACGGCCAGTCATTTTTTTAGCTTCTTAGTATGTTCTTTATTGAACGAAAGTCAAAACTAAACTGATGCCAAACACAGAAACGGCACTCTATTTATATCATTCATGCGACACACATACCAACGCACACAACACGAAATACGTTTCCCCTTCAATCGAGCGGCACTTCCCCTGAGTGAAATAGTATAAATAGAATGCGCATATGGTGGTTTTGTATTCATTTTTGTTTGACTATCTTTCAGAAATCATCGAAAAGTAATAAGAAGAAGCAATGGCCCGTACAAAGCAAACCGCACGTAAATCGACTGGTGGAAAGGCACCACGTAAACAATTGGCAACCAAAGCTGCCCGTAAGAGCGCACCAGCCACCGGAGGTGT